ACAAACACAAATTCAGGTATCTGACAGTTTTGTTCTGCATATAAGAAGTTGTCTTGGAGCTGGAGGGTGTTGCATGATGTTGTGTGATGTTCGCATCTTCCTTGAATGGGTGTTTCTATGAGCCTTTCCCCACATGCATGAGTGTACTGTGGATAACGACCTGACTGCTCCGTTTCTCTGTTTAATTACAGGATTCACACAGCATCATTTTCCTGTGTGATCTTCACATCCATTTCCCGTCAGGGATCATTGACTCCATTCGGAAGCACTGTGTGGAAGGGAAAATGGCCTTTGCACCTATGGTTATGAGGCTCCACTGTGGCGCATCCCCAAAATGGCCTGATGGTGAGGTGCTGCAGGGAGGAGGGTTTTTTGCATAAAACCCGTATTATTCTGGGCATCTTTCTTCCTCATTATCACATTTTTCTGCAATTCATAGTTTAGCCTTGTAGAGATGGTTAAAACAGCAGTTTCATAACAGAGTGGGGAAGGTCTAGCACAGACAAGGAAAATATTCTGTATAGCAAGTTTGGTGGAATCTTTCTCAGCCCAAAGTCAGCAGTCCCTTCTGGGCAACTTCCTAGGGCCTATGTGCTAGTGGTGGCCTTGGGGTGGGGAGAGGCAAAAGTGGGTGGGGGAAAGAATGTACAGTACTTTCCTTAGTTGGCTACTTTTTATGCATAATCATACATTCCTCTCTACCCTCCTTCCAGGCAAGCAGGGGGCAGTATCAGAATTCCAGGACACATGCCTGCCAGGCAAAACCATTCAGGGAGGGTGCAAAGCAGGGATCAGTGAGGGGTTTGGCTTGGGGAGATTCATGAGGACTGCAGTTAGGCCCCCCACCCCCAAGTCCTGAAGTTCTTCATTCCAGCATCCTATTACTTCCCAATGAAGAGTGGTTGCAACTCATTAGGGTGTGTGTGTGTGTGTGTGTGTGTGTGTGTGTGTGTAGTTGGATCTTTCCCTATTAATCTGTTACATGCCTGGACCAGTGGGTGCCACAGGTTAGTCTGAGAACTTTAATTTTTACTAATAAACCATGTAGATGTGGCTGATGCTTTTGTGTTTCGCTTTCATAGGCTACTGGGAAGTGAATGGCTTTGGCCTCCTGGGTATATACAAGTCAGATCTAGTTCGCGTTGGAGGCATGAACACCAGAGACTTTGGGGAAAAGTGGGGAGGAGAGGACTGGGAACTCCTGGACCGGTGAGTGAAGATGTGTAGCAGCAACTGGCTTTGGGTTCTCTTCTCATAGGAACAAAGGAAGCTGCCTTATACTGAATCAGACCATTGGTTCATCTAGCTCAGTAATGATGGATGAAGTCTAAGAGGAAAAGCACAATGTGGAACAACTAGCAAATAAAGCAATTAACCAAACCGCTATTAAGCACTAAGTTTCATCCTCGTAAAAAACTTCCTCCTACACACAAACAGAGCAATCTTATATATTCACTGACAAGTAAGTCCCATTGGTCCAATAAAAACCCACTGCCACTGAAGTATCCCCCTTACTCTTAGTTGGAGGGGTAGTTTCCTGTGGCTGCCATTCCTGTTCCAACTTCCTACCCTCCTGATCACTTGCTTAATCAGAGTTTAGAGTCCTGATCCTGATAAAGACCTGGCCCATGGTACTTTAAAGATTCCCCCACCCTCCCAATCCAAGCTCCACAGAAGCAGGCAGTCCTACTTAGCCTCTCGTTCCAATCTCTCTCCTTCCCTCTCCTCCCACAGGATCTTTCAGGCTGGCCTGGAGGTGGAACGACTCTCTCTCAGAAACTTCTTCCACCATTTCCACTCCAAGCGGGGCATGTGGAACCGACGGCAGCTGAAGATGTGATGAACATTTGCACTCGCAGTGCAGACTTTATCCAGGCATGTCGAGGAGAAGCCTCCAGTACCACAGAAGTCAGAACATGAATTTAGGCGTTATGAGAAAATAAGTTCAGGCGCAGAACTGAGAGTTTTTATCTTGTGAGAAAAATGAAAATGGGAAGAAAACGATCCTACCTCTAGTGTCTTACATCCACGACAGCTATCTTTTTAAGAGCACAAAACCAAACTTTCTTACCAGCATGTCACAGATGCACTTCTGGGATGCAAAAAAGCACACATAGGAAGCTGCCTTCCTCTACGTCTGACCAGTTGGTCCATCTTAGCCCAGTATTGTCTGCACTGACTGGCAGCAGCTCTCCAGGGCTTCAAGCAGGAAACATTGTCAGCCCTACCTGGAAATGCCGCAGATTGAACATGGGACCTTCTGCATAAAAAGCAAGTGCTCTACCACCAAGCTATAACCCTTCCCCTTTCCTCTTCCCCTGCATCATCCCTCTGCCTCAAAAGCCTCTCTTTGTGGTGCCTTCCTACTTCTTCCAAGGTTTTACTGAAATGCTTTCACTTCTTAGAAGCATCAGTAATGCCGCAGTTCTCTGGTCAACGGGTACAAATGAAAAGGAGTGCCTTCCATAGTGTGTTAGAAAGAGGAATATAGCCTCGTTATGTGTAGTGTGAGTTGTTTTTAATGATGCTTCCTTTTTTGAGATACTTGAACAAAAACTGTGTCCTGAAATCCATGCCTTTGGACCAAAGTCACTCTGATATGTGGGCTGTGTCTGAATACCTGTACTTAAGCCCAGCCAGGACATACTAAAGAGGCCTAGTGGATTCATATTGTGCTCTGCTCAGGTACAGCAAAAAGAATTATGTTGAAGCCTTCACCTTGTGGCTTGCCTGCATCTGTATTTCTCAATAAGCGGCCTCTCTCTCTCTCTCTTACCATTAAGCTGAGTCAAAACCCTGTTAGGACTTGAGATAGGTTTTTGGCACAGAATTGTGTTTATCCTGACAGTCATATGAAATGGGGAAAACAGGGAACTGGAAATATGAACTTGAGACAACAACCCTTGAATAGCCTAGCACTCAAGAGATTAATTTACAGCAGGGATTAGGAAACTGTGGCCTCCCAGATGTTGTTGGGCTACAACTGCCTTCATCCCTACCTAGCAGGACCAGTGGTTAGGGATGATGGGAACTGTAGTCCAAAACCAGCTGGACACCCAAGGTTGGGAAACGCTGATCCCTGACATCTGGCCATGCTGATCAGTTAGAGATCTAACAACATCTGAAGGGCCAAAGGTTCCCCATCCCTCATTTACAGTGCAATCCTGGGCATATATTTTAGAAGTCCCATTGAGTTAAATAGCTTTTATACACTGTCCTCCCACCCCTTCTATTTATTTTGTAGTTTTAATGTTGGTTTGTTTGTACTCTGATTTTAATGTGCTCCAAGTCACCCTGAGGCAGGGGAAATAATCTTTTTTGAAGGACAAGATATATTTTGTAAAATTAATTGATAAATTAAAGTTATGGTTTTGTTACTACGTTTTGGTACTGATTATGTATGAAGACCAGGTATCCTTGCATCAGAAAATATGTAAGAAAATGAGCTATCTACGCTGCAGTTTTGGAAGGAGTGGCAAGAAGTTGTGCAAACTGGAAGTCAGATTTGGGCCTGACACCTTCAGGAAACAAACCAGTCCTTAAAGCAGGTCACACAAAATGGGTAACATCTGTGTGTAAAATGAGGAGCTGAGTTGGTTCATTGATGCAGGTGGATTAAAGTGTGTGTGTGTGTATGTGTGCCAAATGATAATGGGAATGGCATTTTCTGTCTCTGGAAACATATGAGTTTCCAGACTCCTTTCTTTTTTTAACTCTTTCTTCACCCACTGTAACCCCACCCCCATGCAGCATAAAATTATTATAGTTTTTCAAGCCTCAGTGTGGAGGAGGAGGGGATGAGGCAAGGAAAGGAGGATGTGGGTTGGCCTGTGGGTCAGTGCTTCCCCCAACCCAATTTAAAAACAAAGTAAACCTCTTTCTTCAGAACTATTATTTAATCCTGTTTCAATGTGTGCAGATTTCATTGATTCAACAATATCTCTTTGACTTGGTGACACACAGATACATATACATCAAACATTGGATGTGTGTATCAGGATTGGGTTTTGCTATGAAGTCAAAGAAGGAAATTCTAAGGTCCTATGCTGAGAGGACTTACCTGTATGAATCTATTGTTTGTTTGTTCCAGTGTCATCAATGTCACCTTCACTGAAGTACCTCTACACCTTTTATAGCTTGTGTGAATATCTGAAATGTTCTTTGGTATATTTAAATTCACTTTTGAAATGTGTGCCTTATTGATGAGTCCCAAACCTTTTCTTACTTGCAAGAGGAAGCATAAGTGCCTCCGTTTACAAATACAGATTCCTTACAGAAAATGTGTGTGGTGTTTTTTTCTGACCCTCAAATGCCTGCCTGCAAAGTGGTCCAATCTAATGTGAAATTTTTGCATATGGGATCTGTCTCCTCTTCTGTATCTGGGTAGCTATGTACTATTCTATAAAAGGATATAAAAGAAAGAGAAAGACATTTAGTGCTTAAGATTTTCATTCACTGTCTGCATTGAGTAATTTGATATATAGACCAAGCCACACCTTTGGATAAAATATACTTTAATAAATAAAGAGAAAGCAAATAGTTGGAATGTGCAAAAGATGCACCAGTTCTAAGTGGGATGACAAAATTGCAAGTCCTTTATAAAATATTGTAAGAGTGGCTAAGGACAGCATGGGAGTAACTTTCAGAAGCAATGCACTGTTTACAAAAATCAAGGTTAACTTGTACAGCTTAAAAATGCTTTGCATTACTATGCATAGTATTATTGCCACCAGCAGAGGTTTATAATGCAATTTATTTTTTGCCACATGCAAGCTGATGGTCTGTATTTCCACTATAATCCTAGTTTTATACCTTTTGTGTGTGTGCACACACAAAAAAATACACTTTTTATTTTATTTAAATAACAGAATTTGTATACAGCTAAATTGCAAAAAACTAAGCAGTTTTACATAACAATTTACACCCGTGGAGGAGCAGGACTAAGTACATAGAAACTATGGGAATCTTGGCTATTCAGGAGCTCCAACAAAATAACAGGAGTTTCAGCTAGTTGCATCAGAGCCTCTGCACCACCACCGATCACTGGATCAGGGTAACATAATGCTTTTCATTTAATAATTGCATTTCTCAATGTTTTAGTAGCTGGGGCAGACTCTTCTCTGATCTAAAACTGGAGGTACACTTCTCATTCTTACTTTTAGGGTAATAACTGTCCACCCTCAGAGGAGCCAACAACTTGTGCTCCTGTGTGAGTCACTATTTGGGGCTGGTCATTTTGTTGCATCCCATCATTGAGAGCAGTTGATCCCATTACACAACACAGAAACAAAGTCTCATCCGGAGACATGCATCCCACACTAATTCACTGCTCAGGTGGATGCCAAGCAAGAGCAGTGAATCAAAAAGAAACACAGTGGGCAGCCTCTTCTCTGGGCGATGCTGTGTGCTCATACAATATGGCTTGGTCTGCAATGCTAACTCCACTCCCCTGGCAGCAAGCCCCACTGAATTCAGCAGGACTTCTTAGCAGTTGTGGTTAGGATTGCAGCCTTAAATCATGTTTTTCTCCTGCTTTGCAAATCTGTCTTCATCTGACAACTTAGTGTCCTCTTGGACAAAATTTGAACTAGTGACCTAGCACCTGCCCCTTATCAATTGTGCTCATTTGTAATTCTCTTCCAATGTTTTATTTTGATACTGTTGTCCCTGTCGCTTACGTTGACTGCTGCTGCCATTGATGGAGTACATCAAGTTGAATCACTGAGGGCTGCTCCTTTCCTGGTGGGAGCTGGGAAGCTCTAGCTGAATGCAATCCTCCGAATTGCAGATGAATCTCATTACAGCCAGGGGTTGGGAACATTTTTCATACAGTCCCTTCTGGGGCAGAGACAAAGAAGAACAAACTTTTTTTCATGTGTATGGTAGGCTAGTTTTTACTTACACTCACACTCACTGAAAAAGGGTGCAGAGTAGGGCCAGTGGGTGATGTAAGCTGGGGAAGAGAGGAGTGTTTGGTTGAGGAAGAAATCTAACCTGGGGAGAGTCCGAGAAAGGCCTGGAGGGCTGCATTTGGCTCTCCGACCTGAAATTCCCCACTACTCCATTACAGGACACAAACATCATTATGGGTTGAGATGAGGAGAGGCTGCTGTCAAGATCAGCTGAAAATTTATTCACCTCTTCAGAGCTGTAAACATGTTGCAGAAGTAGCCCACAAGGAGCAACTGGTGTACTTGCAATAGGGTTCACCCAGGCAGTTGTGTATCTTAAATGGATCATCAAGTCAGAGATCTATAAGGCTATACGGAAAGGCATTCCAGCTATCTTCTACCATGTGCTCCAGCCTGCAAGGAAAAACAAGAGGCTCAGGCAGGTTGTGCATCTCACTGTTGATGGTGACAAGGATCAGTCTCCTCTGCTGTGGAACTGTCTCCCTAGAGATAACCACCCTTTTCATATTTGGGGGGGGGGGAGAGAGAGAGAAAGAGAGAAGAAAGAACTGCCACCATCCCACTTCATTACTTATGAACTGCCTAAGAATAATGATTGATGGAGTATCCTATGTCCAAATAGGCAAAAATGGATGGTGAGTGTTTATCTGTCAAATCTGGAAGCATAAGACTCACTCTTTTCTTACCCATCCAAGGCTTAGTAGATTCTCCGACCACCATAAATGCTAGGATAGAGACCCGTCTTCTGCACACCGAAAGCAGTAATGAAGATGTTGATGATGACTATGATAAAGACTAGGATTGTGGCGATGTTGTTGAGCAAATTCAGGCGCTGCTGCTTCGTCACATCGTTCAGGTTCATCCGAGCTATGAAAAACAAAAGACAAAACCCAGACAGAATTCAGAGGAAACTCTTCTGCTCACTACATTCTGCAGAAGGTGTGCCGCCGCCGCCATTATTATTACTCTCTTAAATGTTTGATAGGCTTATATTTCCTTTCCTCCAATAAGTAAGGTTAGGAAACACAGTTTTACACACTATTCCTTTCCTTCCGCCTGGGAGGGCGGAGCCTTGATTGACTCCAGCTACAAAAGCCGAGGCACTTGGGCTGGGGTATCGTTGCTCTTATTGATATACTGGTGTGTGTGTGTGTGTGTGTGTGTGTTATCTTTGTGTAGTTTTTGATGTTTTATTTATGACTACATTTGTTATGTTTGTGTTTATATGAATGTTTTCATGCCAGCTGCCATGAGCATGGTTTTAACTATGGAAAGGCAGAATACAAATAAAATGATGATGGTGGTGGTGGTGATGAAGCAATGCCTGGGTCAAACTCTTCCAGCGAGATTCTTATCTAAGTGTGATTTAAACCACAGATGGAATAGCTATGCTTCCCTTCTCTGCTCTGCAGCCTGGTGGAATGTTAGGATGTTGCCTGCCACCTTGAGTTGAAAATTTACTTATAAAAAAATAATCTGTGACCTAATTTTGCCCATGAGTACAGCTTTTTAGTCCTTTTCATATTTCTGTGAGTTTTCTGCCTGATTGCTGTGGTTTAGAGAAAAGGGTGGCTAATGTCCTTTAATGGTCGGTGTCCTGCTGTGCCAGCCACATCTTTCATTTGGAAAAAGCATGTTAAAGGCAAAGAATGGCCTGGGAAATGCCTCTCAACAGAAGCCAATGGCTAGGGGGGAAATTGGAGATTTCTCTGGAAGATAAGGAGAGCTAAAACAATTTTCTCCCACCCTAGCTCCAAGTGGGAAGCTGTAGTTTGGGAAGGATGGCGAGAGACATGGAAGCGGAGAGCTAGCCAAAGTCTAAAAAGGCTTGGACAAAGAGCTTTTAAGCATGGCTCTATGCCTGGAAAGAGCAAGGCAAAAGGTAGGTGTGGATAAACCTTAAAATTGGCTACAACCCTCAGGTTTCCAGGGATCTCTCCCACAAAAAGGAAGCTAAATCCTGCCCTTTCTTGATGCACAAGTATGCACCTGAAAAGTCAAGCATGATGTGAGAGATGTGTTTGCTGCCAAGCTAGTCAGAGATAAAATTCCAGGTACCGAGCCACTTCTGTCTGGTGGATTAATTACTGCAAATTCCAAGCCAACACAGGACCTCAAAACAAACGCGTCCGTGCTGCTTAATCAGTTGACTCTTCTGAATCCTTGTGACAATTTCTCGACCAGCATGCCCAGCGAGGCAGGGCACGCCTCCTACTTCCTTTCTTCTGAATATAGCTAGTTCTGGGGACTGACTGGCCCCTCCCTATTTCAGCCTCCGATTCAGAGGACAAACTGGAGAAAGGCTCTTTAGGCTCTCGGTAAGTGCTTCCCTGCCCCCCCTTCTCCAGCTGTTTCCCTTTCCCTGACACATGAGTGTGCCAAAAATGTTCTGGAAAACATGTTTATTGTCCAGGTTACCTCTTCACAGAGTCAGGACCTGCTGCCAGCCTCACTGAAACCTGTGCTCAGTGGCAAAAAGTGGTTTTCTTACAGCCTTCTCCAGCCTGGTGCCCACGCCCTGGTGTTTTGGACTATATCTCCCATTAGTTCTAGTGAGCTCAGCTGTATGCTGCTGGGGCGGCTAGGAATTGCAGCCCAAGCCATCTAGAGGGCACCAAATTGAGGAAAACCTGCTGTGGTCTGTCGCTTTGTGCAATGCCTTAGATGCAGCCACCTCTTCAGTGTGAGCTAACTCTAAAACCAAAGGCAACCATCCAAAATGGCGAGGACCATTTTAATTTTTTTAAAATAAAGCAGACTACATCCAGCCTTTGCAAATCTGGTGCCCTCCAGCAGTTCTGGGCTATAACCCCCATCAGGCCTAGCCAAGCTGGCAAAAGCTGAAGCAGATGACTATGAGACACACACCAGATATTTCCATTTTTAGATGGCTTTGGTTCTCTAGGGCAAGCCAGAGGCTGGAGGCCAACAGCAGCTGCGGATGCTGAGGAATGTTTGCGGTCAGGCCCCATAATGAGAGAAGAGATTCCATTGATGCAGCATTAGCTGTAGCCCAAGTTCATGACCTCCACCATTCCACTCCACCAAACTCACAAGCGGAGAAAGACAGGCCTGTGTTTATCATGTAAGTCTTATCATGTAAGGGGACAGTGGGGCTGACCCGGGGTCGGGCCAGACAGCTCTGGAGACTGTAGCCCTCTGTATATTAACTGTAGGGGCAGCAATGGAATGCGGGGGAGAAGGGAGGTGAAAGGGAGAAACGGATGGGGGTTATAGCTGCAAATGATGGGGTTTAGGCAGGCGGGGGTGGTAGAGGCTGTGTAGGGCAGCTTGGGTAGAGCAGCCTTGTTTCCTACTTCAAAAAGGTGGCCCTGTATTTGAAAGCATCCTCTGAAGGACTGTCCGGTTGAAAGATGCAGAAACCTAAGAAGGGAGAGCAAAAGTGGCCTGGAAATTGTCCCATTAACAGTGAGCATCCGGACAGCAAGCTGAGAAGGCACACAGGCCAGCAGGTCCCTATTGTTTCCCTATTTAAAATACAGTAATTATTTCTAAGTTTTCATCTATACATTTCATAAATTGCTTTCATTGTAAATCAGTGCTCCTTTGCTGGTGACACATTTATTTCTCTTTTTGCCATCATGTTAAGTCGTTGCCCTAATCTGTAATGTCTCTGTGTGTGCTCAAACATTAAATGAGCATCCAACTTATTTCTTCCTAAGAGCTATTTTTTAAAGTCTTTTGATTAAGAGCAACACTGGGCATTGTGGAAATGAGATTCCTAACTAAGGCCTGTCAAACGGAGAATCCCTCAACACAGCCTTGAGAAAACTACATGTGTTCCTGGTCCTTACTTTTAATTCTAACTTTAAAATTACTTGCAAGATAGATTAGGCTCGCTATCTTATGAGCATTTTTTCTGATTTATTTGTGGGGATGTTAGATGACGTTGCATCAAAGTAAATGTTATCTTCACTTTCCAGGGCATTTCCCCACCACTCTCCTTACTGGGGGGGACGGGGGACGACTCCCATATTTTGGGAGAGCATGCTTGTTTAGCCAGGCAGATTCTCTACCACTGAGCAGTCCCACCCCAGCTTCCAAATCACATGGCAATGTTTGAAATCTGGTAAATGACTCAAAGTAACATCTGAACTGCTCTGTGAAAAGCACTGGAGCACTGTGCTGTGTATCACTCTTTCCTCATATGATGATCCCTGGAATGAACTTTTGAAAAAAGCGAAGAGGTCTGCAGAAAGATGCTTACCTATAATGATCAGGAGAATCCCAATGACAGTTTGGAAGAAGAGAGAAATGGTGATGAGAGCAGTCAGGACAGCATAATATTGGAAGGACGTCCCCTGTTCCAGCACTGCCTTCAGTTGCGCAGCGTTGGCCATGAAGAGCGCCACATCCAGCATGCTCTCAGCCACGCTTTTCTTGGTGGCGTAATGATTGATGTTGATGATGTTTTCCAACCTGGAGCCAGGAATGGATGGCTAGAGGAGGAGAAAGAAAAAGGCCATGGCACATCAGAGAAAGAGATTAGCTTAAGAACATAAAAAGAGCTCTACTGGATCAGGCCAAAGGCCCCTCTAGTCCAGCAGCCTGTTCTAAGTGCGGCCAACCAGAGACCCGTGGGAAACAAGGAAGCAGGATTCAGGTAGAAGAGCACCAGGAAGTCCACAGGCAGGGCACAATCACATTCTCTTCCACTTGTGATCCCCAGCAGCTGGTGTTCAGAGGCATACTGCCTCCAACAGGGGAGGTACAGCATAGCCATCACATCCTGTAGACATTGCTAACCTTCTCCTCCATCAATTTGTCTAATCCTTTAAAAAAACAGCAAGCTGGTGTCCATCATTAAAGATTCAGATCTTCAAATTCTACCATCTATTTTTAATAGTTATTACCTCCTGTTCTCATGGTGGCCATAGGGGGGAGCTCTGAGTAACCTCTAGTCTGGCAGCATCTGCCAGGAATGAATGGGCCAACTGCCCAACAGGATAGTAAATGTTGTTGAAAGGGAGCCAGAGCAAGATCATACTACCACTAAAGATGAACAAATATTTTGGGTACAACCCAGAGAACCTCACTGGGTTTACTGCAACCACATTCAAATAGTCCCTGCAGGTTAATTATTACCTAGCTGGAAAAGAGGTCACCCGCATGACGGCTAATTGCCTTTGCAGCTTCTTACTATCTTATGGACTGTTTTGGTGCTCAGAGCAAATACAATAAACAGCAAACTGCCATGCCGGATATTCATTAAAGGATGGCTTGCGCCAGAAACTAGGCGCAAAATGCAAGACCTGTGCTCCTTCACCCTCCCTCCCTTATACAGTGGTACCTCAGGTTACAGACACTTCAGGTTACAGATGCTTCAAGTTACAGACTCCGCTAACCCAGAACTAGTACCTTGGGTTAAGAACTTTGCTTCAGGATGAGAACAGAAATCGCACGGTGGCAGCGGGAGGCCCCATTAGCTAAAGTGGTACCTCAGGTTAAGAACAGTTTCAGGTTAAGAACGGACCTCCAGAACAAATTAAGTTCTTAACCCGAGGTACCACTGTAGTCGCTTTTAACCATTTGTCCTTGTTTCTATCTTTTTAAGTATGTATAATCCCCTTTTAATTACTAGTTTTAATCCCTTACCTGCTTTAAGTCTTATGTGTTCAGTTTATCTGTACGTTTTATCTTATGCTGGTCTGTGACTGAAATAAAGTTTGATACCTATTGAATAAACAGCAAACAACCCTGCTTCCTTACAGCCCTGCCGCAGGTCTCCTTAATAGTTGTTGTTGTTGCTGCTGCTCCATAGTTTCTCTCTCCAACAGCCATTTTATCCCCAACACAAACTTCTTGAAAACCAAAGGCGGCAGTACAGTCAATGGTCAGGGATGATGGGAGTTGCAGTCCAAAACATCTGGAGGGCACCAGATTGGAAAACGCTGCACTAAAAAGCAAGACTGAAACTTGTTGAGACATACCAGCTCAGCTTGCAAGGAATGTGAAGCCAAACCAAGGAAAGCACAACTGCTTTACTCCCTGGACCCCAGAACCTGTTGCTGTAGCTAAGAAGCAGACCCTCCAAGTATCCCTATTTTCCAGGGACAATCCTGGATTTACAGAAGCCGTCCTGGTTCCTGACTTGATCCTGGAATATCCCGCTTTTCCTTAGGACATCCCTATTTTCATCAGAGAAATTTTGAAGGGTATAGAATCATGTGGCCCCCGAGCCAAGGAGATAAGGAACTAAGGAACTAGACAACCTCTAGATCAGTGTTTCCCAACCTTGGGCCTCCAGCTGTTTTTGGACTACAACTCCCATCATCCCTAGTTAGCAAGACCAGTGGTCAGGGATGATGGGAATTGTAGTTCAAAAACAGCTGGAGGCCCAAGGTTGGGAAACACTGCTCTAGATGTCACGGAAATAAACAACTACAGTGGTACCTCGCAAGACGAATGTCTCGCAAGACAAAAAACTCGCTAGATGAAAGGGTTTTTTGAGCTGCTTCGCAAGACGATTTTCCCTATGGGCTTGCTTCGCAAGACGGAAACGTCTTGCAAGTTTGTTTCCTTTTTCTTAACACCGTTAATACAGTTGCGACTTGACTTCGAGGAGCAACTCATAGAACGTGGTGTGGTAGCCTTTTTTGAGGTTTTTAAAGACTTTGGTGATTTTTGAAGCTTTTCCAAAACTTTCCCAACACCGTGCTTTGCAAGACGAAAAAAATCGCAAGACGACAAAACTCGCGGAACGAATTAATTTCGTCTTGCGAGGCACCACTGTATCTGACTTTTAGAAGACATCTGAAGGCAGCCCTGTATAGGGAAGTTTTAAAATGTTTTACGTTTTATTATGTTTTTATATATGTTGGAAGCCACCAAGACTAGCTGGTACAACCCAGTCAGATGGGCAGGGTATAAAGAAGAAAAGTATTATTAATTAAATAGGACATCCCTATTTTCATTGGAGAAATAGGGTATGGAATGGGGTGCAGGACAAGGAGACCTCAAAAGAACAGAACAAAAAAAGAGGGAGGGAACTCAGGGGCTCAATAAAGAAAAATATTTTTTTAAGATTTTAAAAAATAAACTAATGAAAATGTTGAGTTGCATCCATTGTGGGTTTTTGAAGGAATATTTGCAGAGACTTTTCATGGGCAGCAAAGGCCCTATGGCACAGGAGATACTGGTGGGCACCCATGGACATTGTGTGTGGGGTCACTAGTTTCGTTTGACCCTCTGTCTGTTAGCCTTTAAGCCCCACAAGACTGCTACTTTTGCAGCAACTGACTAACATGACTACCCTTCTGGAAGCAGCTATCATAAACCCCTAGGTTACTGGGAGTGGAAACTGCAGATGCTCACTTGCTCATCCCATGTTCAGAACAGAAAAAAAAATCCAGTTAATACATCACTGCTGTTTTTTACAATCTGCAGATGATACATGACAATACGTAATTGATTACTCACCTCCCCACCCCAGTTGTATTGTGTTTCCTTTGCAATGAAACCAATGATGTGGAACAATGTAATGATAACGTAATTAATTGTGCAAAATTTCACCATAGCAGACAGTGAGACGAATAAAGGGGTTTTTTTGTTGGAAGCCAAACTGCAGAGGAACAGAAACAGGGCAGCATATGACAAATATGGGGCAGGAAGGGAATCAATGCCTTCTTACATCCCTGGTTACCAGTGTCATTGCCCGCTTTGAGGTCTTTAGGCAGCGAGGGAAGAAACAAAAGGGCAACAGGAGAGCACGAGACAGAAAGGCAGGGATCATGTGAATGATAAATAACCCTCTTTGAGTGTGTCTGCTGGCAGAGACTAGCTGTAGAGGCACTTTATTAAAAAGCCATTAATTCCAAGCAAGTTGCTGTGGGATTCCAAATAAAACGCAGAAAGACACCCAGACAAATTCACACACAGGGAACAAAAAAGGCACCCCATCTACTGGGTGCAGGAGTCCAGGCACTTTATGATTGTACAATCACACTGTTTTCTGAAGGCTAGAGATACAGAATTTGTTCAGCACTGACTGAGGTCACCACTAGAACTTGAGCCAAAAGGCAAGAGGAGAAGAAAGAATGCAAAACAGCCCCCTTTTTGCAAAAGCTTGTCCCTATTTCTTAGCTAAACAGAAAAAATGGGGAATCCATATTTCTAAAACACATCTGCTACTGAATGTCACCAAATCTTGATTTCCCCCCACAGCTTTATCTGCCACTAACCTGTATTTAAAATATACGAATACACACATATTTCAGAAATCTGACATGTTTTAGGATTTGCAACAAGTATTGATGTAAACCACATTAAGCATATTACGGAAAGCATATAAATACATATAAATTGATATACTCATTGGCATCAAGAAGGCCATTTACATCAGCAAGGTATTCACAACTGAGCTGTTCAAAAGCTCTCGGTTTGCCAATCTCAATGTTCAAAAGCCTCAAAGCCAAAATACTGTACTGTATTAACAGTCATGACATTTTAAACATAATACATCTTCTGATATTCTCTTGCAATGCTTTCCATTTTCTGGTACTTGCTTCTTTAACTGAAAGGTAAGATTTTTAAAAAAATATGGTAGTTTAATCAGAATTTAACACTCCAATGAAAGCGCACTGCTAGTAAGCTAGTGTTAAATTCCAACTTTCAATCTTTCATCCTGTAAATGGCCCTGTATCAAGAAGTAATTCTTGACACATTTTTCATTCCCATGGCAACATATCACCTGTTGTTTACATAGCAGAAGGATGTGTCTAGCCACACCTGACCAGCAAGTCTAACACATAAACCCTGTCTTATTTAACCTCCAGTCTCGTAACAGATGCACACAGAGATCAGTTGTGCCCCAGACTGCTTAAATAAGGGCTGAGTCTGCAAAGTGGAGCAAATTTGAAGCTCTGCACCAAGAACAGGTGGTACAATCCAACTGCATTGACTGCATTCTGTTAACATTTCCACCAGTACCCGTTTCCTGAAATATGTGTGCCAGCAACCTCCCACAAAGAGTTATTGCAAGTTAGGAAAATACCACACTTTTTCTTTATTTAACTGTTTATTATATTTGTAGATCACTTCCCAGATGAAGTCCTCAGAGTGGTTCATAATAAAATAAATGTCTCAAATGATTTTAAACATTTATCATATAAACTAGTTTAAAACCACAATAAAATCCAAGGCAAAAATCAGTAACACCTCTCTAATTTAAAACATACCAACTAATAATTGCTCAGGCTAGATCCTGACTATGAAAAAAAAACCCTCCCCAAAATGGCAATATTATTCACTAAGTGGTTTTCCTTCCCATGTTCTAAATGTGCAAAACTGAAGCTCAAATGTTAAAACTTCTCATTTTACTTGGGAGTCTTCTGTTTGAGATTTCACAAAGCTACACACTTCCCAGATGTGCTTTTTCAATGTTGTCCTCATGAAACTGGGCGGGGAGGCAAAGGGACAGAAGAGGCTGCCAATAGTGATC